TACCTCTAATTAGCATTCTTTCAAAGCTCAGATTTGTGTGTACCTATCTACCTCGATATATAACCATGCATACAAAAACAAGTTTTTTTTCTCTATTTTATCCTTTCTTTTGTGTTGTTGTTGTTATTGTTAATCTTACACACACTCACTCAAATGTAAAACACAAAGGATTTTCGTATCTTGCTGTTTTAACTGTTTTCCTTCGTGTGCAATGAACTGGCAGGAGAAAAGTATATTTTTGTGTGTTGTGGATATATTTTGCTAATAACGCAGCTCTCCCACAACAGTATAAATAGCTTGATGAGCATGACGATCAGCTGCTTTTGAGTATCGAAGCTGTTTATAGAAAATATACTTTTCTCATTAACTTAAAAGCAAAGCTCTACAAAAAACGCTAACAAAAGGAGTAAAAGTTATGTAAAAAAAGAAAATTGCATTAACCAGTCAAAATTGTAAATAATTTCCAAGTATTTGTTAAAATTTATATTTAGCTTTTTACTATTATTATTTTGTAAACTTTTGGTACTTAAATAGGTAGATAGGTAGGTAGATAGAATGTCAGAAACAGCTCTTGTGTGGAATTTGTAAATAATACTCGTACTCACTTAACTACGTACTTGTGTATAGCTAGAATTTGTCAACCCGTTGTTTGTGAATAAAAAACCCCTTTTGATTAATAGCACATAAGTATTTACCACTATTTAAATAAATTGAGAATGAGATTTTTTGAAAAATACTTTTTAACTTTCATGCATTTTTTTATTTATTGAAAATTCGAGAAACGTATGTTTCACTCAAAATGTTGGAAGCTAATAAGAAAACCGACTATTTTGCTTTCAATTTCTACCAATAAGAATGCCAGGTGTTTGTAAAATGATTTAAACAATTACCACCTTTTTAATTATCTGAATTTCAATAAAATGCCTAAAGATGTCATTTAGCTTTTATATAAAATTTGACTCGATTATAAAAAACACTGACGCTCAAAATGAGAAATAATAGTGATAAATTTTGCAATGACGAGTCACGGCTAAAACGCATCACGTGAAAAAAATATATTCTGAGATAAAAGCTCGCTATAATAGTCACTGATGTGGTCGCAAGCAGCTTAAATGCTCCCCTTAAGAGCTACTCACTCTAAAGCACTGACGGGCACTGCCTTGCCCGCGGGCAAAGCTCCTTTAAGCTTTCTATACATTTTGTATGGGCGCGAGCAGAGTAAAAGCTCTCTCTGCCTAACGCCGCTCTAAAGCTACGCGATCAAAGCTTTTTTAATTTTTATATCAGGGAAAATTAGCTTTCTTCTCAGTTCGGATTCACACACAGTAAATGTTTGGCAAAAGTGTCTCAAACGCAACCTTTGAGCAGAGTTTTTCAAACCTTCTAATTGACGCAGCGTAAAAGCTTTCGTAAACTGTCTGTGATCTAAATCAGCAATGAGCAGAGAGATTTTACCCATCTCACGTCTATAAAAATGACAATCCGGTGTCTATAACCGATTGGTACAATAACTGCGCATGGCAAGCTTTCAAAAGCTCCTTGGGCAATTCAAGGCTGACACAAAATAAAAGCTCTCTCCGGCCAACATTGCTATGCATAGATAAGTTCGCTCTTGTCATGTAAATAAAATAAAAATTCAGTAAGTTTAAAGTCTAATCAATATTCATCAAAATTTCTAAGTTCAAAAATATCCTTGAGATGTGTTCATTAAAATAACGCATATGGAGCTTTAGTGAGGGTAAGGAAAGCAAAAGCTTAGGGGTCACTAGTTTCTGTAATAGTATTTCTTAGTAGCCTACATGAACTGTCTCTCTATCTTCTTCATTAATTAGGTAGTTTTGATTATGGTAGCTTTTGATAACTATGTACATTCTAAGTAAATTTCTACTTTTCCTATGTTGCTAGTATCAATTTTGTAACATTTACTATTTTTTTACGCCTAAATGAATTTGATGATATATATTTTTTTTCAAATCAACACAATGATCGGAACACATCGATCTTGTAAGCATTGCTAACAATAATGTTAAAAAGAAAAAGAAAGAAAAGAATTCGCATACAAGTACACATATACATTGCGCTGTTATGTGCTTTACAGTGTAATCCTTGCAGATAACATTTCCTCTCTCCACTTTCCACTATTCACCTTCCACAAAATAATCACTCGCTACAGCTGTGGCATTCGCTAGTACGCTATGTTTGAGCGGTAACTATAAAGAGCTTTCACCAAGCTGCACAGCTTTCGTTAGACCAAAGTTAAGATCCAAATAGCATAACATACATACATACAAACATATATTTAATAGATATATCTATTCACTGCCCCACGACACATATCGCTATCGCTAAAGCTTTCACTACCACTTTCACTTTCACTATCGCTTCCACTTTCACTATCACTATCACTATCGCTTCCACTTCCACTTTCACTTTCGCTATCAACTGTCACTATTGCCACCACCAACTTTTGTCTTTTACTGTAATTTTTTGTTCCTTCAACAAAGACTCAATGTAAGTTTTTATTGCCAAATGAATGTAAATATATAGGTGTTTTTGTTCCTTTTTTTTGTGTTTGAGTTTTTAATTATTTTTTTGTTGTTGTTAGTTTTCGTATTTGTATTATTTGTTTTTAAGCAAAAATTATGAAAACGCAAAATACAAACTTTTTCACCTCAATCATCAATTCCATAAACAAAAAAAAAATCAATCAAGGGGCTCATATTTCAAATATGAGGAGGATGAATTACTTCCAAAGCAGGAGGCGCGTATTTGGCGGCCGCGTAGTTTCCACTACGATAACGTAGCGGCGGCGATGCTGACGCTTTTCGCGGTGCAGACAGGCGAAGGATGGCCACAGTAAGCAAACATGTCAAATAAGTATTTACAAAATCGAATTATGCATATATTTATTGATTATACTAAGTACATATTTGCAATACATAAGTAGTTGGTACTGAAAAGCTTTAGTTCCAAAACATTTTAAATTACTATTACTTTTACATTACTAATTTACTAAATTACATTATTAAAAATTATTTATAACAAATGAATTGATATATTGAATATTCAAAATTTGATAGAGTTCTACAACACTCCATGGCTGCCACGTATGAAGATAGGGGTCCCATACAAAATTTCCGGATCGAAATGTCCATATTTTATATTGTGTATTTCATTGTATTTCCATTCTTCTTCGTGAATATATTCGTGGCCTTGATTATCATTACATTTCAAGAGCAAGGCGAGGCTGAATTGCAAGATGGTGAAATTGATAAGAACCAGGTGAGCCGTACTAATTTATTTAATAGCCAAATCAATTGCATATGTGTGTGTGTAAAGCAGTATGCCTACAAATGCTAAACAAGAAACATCCTAGAGAGTAGTGTCAATGTTGTTGTGAATAAATCGTTACTTTTCTTGTTTATAAAAAAAAAAACAAAAATACATATTTATGTATAAACACGAAAGCCGATTATTGAAAACATCCAAATACAGCTTTCGACATATTTCACTCAGTTGCGAATACGTTTTGCTTACCTGACTGCTTCGTGACTTTATCAACTACTAAGCCTATAAATATTTTGTTTACTGTTAAACTTTTAGATTATTTCCCAAAGCTTTTATGCCATAGATTATACTTACGTACAGCAAATTACAAATTAGAATAGTCTCAAAGAAAAAACGAAACCTACACGACACTACATAATACCAAATTAGCTGCTAGTACATTAACAGATAGATAGATGTAAATACATACATACATACATACGTATAATATATATACATAAGTATAAGAAAACTAACGAAATTACACTTACACTGAGTTAAATGCTAGTTGAGGTATATCAAGTCTCTTTGACTTGCCCAATTTTGTTTGTGAGTCATCTATTTAGAAAACATTTTTAGCGTCGAACATAAAAATACGAAAATGTTTAAGCTAAAATTAGCTTAGCTTTAAACCTTTTCAACTTAACCTCAGAAAAACAATACGCTTTTGTTCAAGCATGCTTTCGTTTAGAAGCTGCCTTCAGGCATTCACAAGCACACAAATGTTTTAACATCGAAGACGTGTACAAATTTCCCGCGCGCCCTATACTAGTTTCGCTAGTTACCAAATGGTGCCCTTTAACACTACCTATCTACTTAGTCAACAGCTTTCCATAGTTTACATACTTTATAATAGTATTCATGATTATGAACCTTCAACAAAGTTTTCCTAATGAAAATATATAAATGTTGTACATTTACCGGAAATTAGCGATTTCAATAGGAGTACTGCTATGCTTTTAAAACTTTTCGATTTAAAAGCTTCTGCAAGCACTCTTACAATGGTTTGTATGCATACACCGTTAGTTGCTACATATCTACTCACATACGTTCATTAGTATTTAGTATTATTTTTAAACGTATCATATAAGCATTTTTATTTTTTTGTAGCTTATACGAAATATAGTTCTTTGGCCAGTATTTACTTAATTTGGGTATGGCATCTTAACTGAAATCATAGCCCAATAGTTAGTTCAATAAAGTCTTTCCCAAAAGGCAAAACTGGTTGGCTAGTAGTAGCGTTACTTTTTCCTAGGACGCCTTATCTGAAACGTGTAATATTATCTTCGTACTTTCACGATTCATTATTGCCTTCAAACAATTTGGACCTGTCGACCAATCTTCTGCTGTCAGCAACTGATCCATTGAACATTAAAAAAAAAAATATATATATAATAACATACAAATTTTGACGGTTACACTTTTGCTAAGTGCTTGGCCGAGCTTCTCGTCCAATATGTGGCGTGTGTGTGTGTGCCAATTTTAGTACACAAATCAACGTAAAAGCTTTTTCCAGCTGTTAGAATTTTTTTTTCTAATTTAGATGTTTCTCGGGCTAGAAATCGAACCCAGGTCTTTCAGATTGGTAGTAGCACCACTATCCACACAGCCATAGCGGCTGCATTTAAATAAAGAATTTTACTTGTCAAGTCTTTTTCGTGCTCTTTCCCTACTTTCTTTGTGAGTACAATTACGGTCCGGAAAGGTTGTACTGATACATCTGATCAGCTCTGCCCCACGTCTCCTAAATTATGCTGATATCGATGTATCCTTTAGGTGGCTTAGAATGTCCTTTGCATTATCCTAAATTTTGATAACGCGGGACATAAGAAAGGACGGTGTTCCAAATTAAAAAAAATCGCTCTTAATACAGCTAATCAACCACTTCCAAATCACAACCACTGACCAAATTATACCTGACAATTTTCCGCCAGTAACCTTATTGCCAACATAAATAATAAATAAATAAAAATGCTTATATAAATTACATTTAACATCCATTAAAATACATACATACATATATGTTATATACAAATTCAGCTAAATATGAATCGTAATAATCGTTTCCATTTTTGTTGTGTTATAAATGGAGCAAATAAAAACAAAAACACAAATCCGTGCATGTTATGTTATATATATGAAAAAAAAATAAAAATCAAATCGCTTTTCATTCCTGCTTTCCGCAATCAAAATATTGCATATTTGCTCATTATGATCGTTTACATACTTACAGAAATCCTGCATCGATTTCACGATAGGAGCGCGTCCGCTGGAACGGTACATGCCCAAAAATCGCAACACATTCAAGTACAAAGTGTGGCGCATTGTCGTTTCGACGCCATTCGAATATTTTATAATGATGCTAATTGTGTTCAATACATTACTGCTTATGATGAAGGTGAGTGTGTGTGTGTGTGTGTCTGATTATGACCATGTAACAATATAATTATATACATATACAAATTTTAGAAGTAACCGTATCAAATATTTTTATGTACATATATTTTAATATATTTCTTTGTTCGAGTGAATTTATGCTCGTTTTTTTTTTTTTAACTATGGGTAGCATTGAACAAAGTTGCTAGATGAAAGTCTTTATCTCATATACAATCATACATACATACAAACGAAGTAGTAAATGTAGTCCGAAACATGAAGTGACTAATAATACAACACTTACCTACAGCAAAAACATACGCACAAATTTTGAGTTTTTCAGTTTAATTTATGAAAAGAAAAAAGAAAACGCTGATATTTTACTGTGTGTTGATGTTTGAAAAACGATGGGGAAAGTTGGTTATTTTCTCGTGTAAATATTGCATGTAGTAATGCAAGTGGTCTATAAATACAGTAAAATTTCCATGACCCGAATTTTTTTTTTTTTTTTGGCGAAACTACGTTAAATGGCAAAAGCCTTTTTATAATGTTGCCCTAGGTTATGGAAGTTTGACTCTACTCCTCTTAAACGTTTATCTATGTTTGCTCGTCACTGCACCGACGTATTCTAATTTATATATTTTAAAAACGTTATACTACTAAACTAAGTGTGGTGAATTCGCTTTGCGTTATACGTCTTACTGGCAGTGTTCATACCTTAACTTTTCTTTGGCTATGTTCACTTAAAAATTTGAATCTAAACTATTCTCCTCTCCCGAACTGTAAATGTTCATTGTTAAGTGTTTTAAGTGCGAAGAAAGAAACAAGTTTTATAAGAATTTAAGCTTTTTGTTACTTATTGCGGGAGCAAATGTGCACCAATAAATCGCCTAGCAATTTGTCCTAGGCATTTGCTTTATTTTACTTTACTTTAATTCGTATTTCTTTAAAAGGGCAATTCGGGCGGAGATAGTTGCAATTCTTTCGTAAGACTACTGAAGAACAGTAGGCAAGATAGTTGGAAAGATTTTGTTTATTCTGTCACGAAAGTCTTTCAAGAAAGCTCCCTGACAACTCTCATGGTGAAAAGCTCTTTTGACAGAAACCAATTGAGAAAATTTTGCACGCACTGCTCCAACTGTCAAAATGGCCTAAAGAGCAAAGTACTGAAGTGCTATTGGAGGTATCCGATGTTCGAATCCCGGGGCGCACAATTTTTTCTTTTAAATTTTAAGAAACTTATTTTAGGTGTTTTTTTTCTTTTATAATATATATGTTTTCTCTTTTTAGTGCATTTTTTAATTTATATATGTATTTTATTTTAAAAAGAAAAAACATTTTTTTATTTCAATAACTTTTTAGAAACTAATTTAATTTTTTACCTTTTTTTAAACTTAACTTTGCTTCTTCTATGCTTTTTCTTTTCTTTTAATTTTAATATTTTATTGTTTTAAAAAGAAAAATTTATTTCTTAGTTTCATTGACTTTTTGGGAACTTAATTAATTTTTTTATTTTTTAATTTATTTTCTAATATAATTCGCTTTTAATTTTTCTAGATTTTATTGTTTCAACAAGAAAAATATATACATATCTCTTAATTTATTTTTAATTAAACAAATTTTATTTACTTCTTTTTGGTTGTTTGTGTTTCCGACAGGGTATTGTGGAACGATTTTCCGTTATCCCTTGTCAAATTTGGTTTGGAGACATTTTTTTGATTTTACTTACCGTTTTATTAAATTTTTGCCATTTTAATTTAATACTCTGTTAATTTTAGCGTTTACTGTTTAGAAAAGAAATTATTTATATATATTTTAATTTAATTTAATTTTTGTGAATTTATTTTATTTTGTTTTATTTTAACTGGTTTTCGCTTTTTAAATTCTTTTAATAATATTTTTTTTTAGTAATATTACTTGTCTGATACAACCAGAAGTGAATTCAATAAACAACTTCTTAGTGATTGAAATTGTGGATACTGAATATAGTATGTAAAAATAATGCTTTATGAGCGATCAGACGAATTCACTTATTTCGTAAAAGAGTATAAGTTTTTCCATTTTCAACCGTTAGTTTACCATTATTAAACTGTCTCGTACTGATGTTTCTATGTCCGGGAAACAACGCAACATAGTTGACCCTCAAATCTATATGGATTAGCATGAGCTTCAATTTGCACCGCCCAACCATCTTCGTTTTGCTAATCGTTCACCTTGTATTTAAAAAGGTGGTTACTCTGCTATTAGGTTTGGTAGAAATATTCTTGACAAGCATCACAGATACAAAGTACTCCCCCCAACGCAGTACATGAAAGGCTTTTCAGAAGTTTATACTAGTCAATTGTCCTTTTCTTATGTATCTCAAGCGTCCATTCAATATTTCCATGAGTAGTGATAATATTTTCGTCAACTTGATTCGTGTTCTTCTTTTGTCATGTGTTTTAGAAAACTATGATGTATGTAACTTTCTTGTTAAATAAGGAACATGAATCGATCATGATCAATAACGAAAAATAGTATATAAGTAGTTATGTAAATACTCCATGTATATATGTGTTCATATCTACTAAACGTTTAAATACTCGACTTTCATTCTGGGCTATGTAACTGGTTTATTTGCGCTTTACTCTAGCAAAGACTAACTAACACAAACAAGCATTATAATATGTATTTCTATGTATTAAATTGTAAATTTTATAGGTTAACTTTTTTAAATTTATGTTTACATACATACATAAATGTATTGCCTATATTAAATCAAAAACCAAACTAATAATGAATTTCTACAGTACCATAATCAAGGTGAAATGTATGAGAAATCACTAAAATATATCAACATGGGATTCACGGGGATGTTCAGCGTTGAGACAGTACTGAAAATAATTGGATTTGGTGTAAAGGTAGGTGGTATAAATAGTAAAATGTAAATAGAAGGAACGGAGAGTGGTTCAAATATTTGTATGACTAAAAGCGAAATACTATATGAATGGTGTTTGTAAAACGGCATTCACATGGGGGCGGTTTTGCAGTCAGTTTTTGAGGCGATTATTTGAATCAAAAGTTGGCTGCCCCCCAACTTCATTGGAAACGATTAATTGAAAGGCCGTTCACACCAGGCGACGGTTGCTTTCAACTAAAAGTTGCCTGTAAAATCGCCTCATGTAAACACCGTGTAAATCTTTTGGTAATTCATTACCACTAAATATCAGCTGAAATTTACAATGTAAAGAGAGTTATTAGAAAAGCTGATGTCTTACAAGAGCTTTAGTTGCGCTTGTAAGCGTCAAATTGTGCATAAGGCACAGTGCGTATACGTAACATTTTCGTATAAAGAATGACAGTCCAAAAGGTGAGTTTTGTTGCAATTTTTTTCGGTGTCAACTATTTAATTTTATTTTTTTTGGTGCCGCTAAGTACATTTACAAAATTGCATGTGTTTATAAAATGCTTTGAATTTGGTAAAGCACGCCGTGGCGCACAATTTTCAATGGTTCAACTTGCTTCTCTTTCTTCATAAACGTTGTTGTTTTACAATTTGTTCCATTTGTTTATGTATATTGCCTTTGCAAATAAATAGCATTACTGCATGGCGATTCTAACACAGTGAAACTTTTATACTCCAGCTTAACACTACTCGAACCAAAGCACAGCATTGGGTTTACTTTTAAAAAATGGAAGTCAGCAATAAAAAATGCAAGTCTGCAGAAGTTATATATTTTTTTTCTACTTGAGGCCTAGCTGATGCCAGAGGTTAGAAACTACAAAAACGCTATGACAATACTGATGGAAGACTTTGAGTTTTTGTTTTATTTGCTATCCAAAAAAATTTTTGTTATAGTTGCGCATCTGGCATCGAGCAAACGGAATATTTAAATAATTGTGCTAAGTGCCTTTTTCAAATATTCACAATGACACACAGTGTTTTATTTTTGAAAAAAAAGGAGACAAAACCAAATACCTTGAGAACGAGAAGGAGTAGAGATACTGAAATAAACGTAATGGTATTTTAAAGCTTTTGAAATGAAGAATACAGTACATTGCATGTCTTTAGGCGAAAAAAGGAAAAATTAAAAAATTTTACTATTGAAGGTCGGTTTTGAGGTGAAGGTTATTCTTAATTCAATCACATCTTTAAAATATTCTTCAAAAGTAAACTTTTTAATTTTTTGCCTCTTTTTACCTAAAATCAGATTGTAACATTTTAAAAAAGACTTAAAACGCGAGCATTCCTCTACGCAGGAAGATCAAAAATTCGTGTTTAAAATTTTTAAAACTTTCATTGCAGACTGGCCCTTCAAAAACTTCATATTTCAAAGTAAATTTAAAAGTCAAGGTAGTACTTTCGTCCAACTATTTTGTCTAAATTCTCCATCTCAAAAGCTTTAGAATAGCGTACGTCTCTTTATTTTCTCTTCTCGTTCCCGTGATATTTATTTCGTTGATTTTTTCTAAAGTACCCTCTGCGACGCATGCCTTAAACATGTTTTGGTATCAATTTCTTTGGAATTATTATTATGTTTGCCAATAGCAAAATCAATACCCAGGTTGGTAGAATGTGAATTAAATTTTATAGGGTACAAGTACATATGGAGTACACCGAACTTATCCAAAACTGTTACTTGTCTTCATGTAGAAATCGAAAGTTAATATAAATCGTAGATAAAGATTCGAATGAAAACATTGTCTGACATTAGTAAATTTTCCACAAAGCTAAATGAAAAGGATTATCAATCGCAGCTTCTTTTGCGGATAACCCCGCACTCATCCTGAACAGATGCCACTGATTCATAAGAAGTAAGCCAGTAACTAGAAGCTCTCCATCTACATAGTACTTCAAGCCAGAAGAGGCTACATTTAAAAGATTAGTAGACAGACTGCCAAGCGATTGGCATCTACATATTATGACAGCTATAAGGAAATCAAAGTTTTGAACTCTCGGAATATTTTCTAATTAGACTAATTTGCGTAAAAGGTCACAGTGCAAGAGCTTTCATTCATTCAGTTTTAAAATTAAATGGAGCCTTATGTAAAGATGTACTACATACAAAATCTATCTCCCTTGTTAGTGTTTTTAGATTTTCGTTTTATTCAAAATTCGTAAAGTGATTTAGTATAGATTTTTTACTCGAAAATTACAATTTCAATTATACATAAAGAAACGCCTGTATATACCGCCGTTATGGAGAAAATTTAACCTACAATCAAATATATGAAAGTACACGGCTTTAGCTAATATAATAAGTAGCCAGTTTTTTTTGTCTTAAAATTGTTAGTAAAAGCATATGATCTACCCTTTAATCCTAGGGTTACGCAAACATATTAATTAGCATTAATTTAAAATAAACGTTTTTTTTTTTTTAAATGCTATGTGTAAATGAAACCCTTAATTGATAACAGAAAAGTAAAAAATATATGTACAATTAGAGCAAACACATTTACAAACATAAAAATCCTGTGATCCCATAGTTTTTGTTTATAAAGTTTTCTTTTTAAAGTTTAAATATTTATTATACCAATTGGCCAACTCACGTTTGTTTAAACAAAAAGACTTCTCAATTCCATGTAAATTCCATCCGAAATTTCTAATATGTATCGCGTCTTTCGAGGCATTCCAAGTTCGCATATTTTCTTCAAGTTGGTGCCTAAATCCACTACTGCACTAAACTATTGTGGATTAGCAGCAGCCTGGCTTAGTTATTTGGAAAACAATTTTTCTACATAAATATTCAAGGCAATAAAAAACAAGGGCGGTTATGAAGGGCCATGTATATTGTAATTTCTCCGAATAAAATCATTCTCAGCTAATATGTAGTTAGTAAAAAAATGGCTACAACTGAGATCTCCTGAGTACACTTTAGGGACGCCAAAATGACACAAGAAAACGCCGAGACACTTGAACTTAATTTTGGGTCGAAGATTACGGTTCTGTACACCGATTTTTTAGAACAGGTAATTTGCCCAAGATATTTTCATTTTAAGTCTGCATTGCGAATGAAATTAAACACAGAAAATGTTACTCATATGCCATGTACGAAAATGTTCGAATTTGGTCATGTACTATATGGCGTATGAGTAACATTATTCCCTGCACCATGTATGAAACACATTTACGGTTGACCATTTACAACTTGTTTATTTATCGGTTTTTATCGTTAGTAGCTTGAATTTTTAGCAAAACAACAGGATTTAATGCAAATTAAAATAGTGCGAAAGATTTTTTTTTAAATTTTTTTCTTGTTAAAGTTTGGATTTTTTTCGTAAAAATTAAAATATCTTGAGAAAATTGCCTGATCTGAAAAACGGTATACAGAGCGACAATCCACGACTCTACATTAAGTTTACGTGTTTCGGCGTATTTTTCTGTAATTTCAAAACTTAAGACTTTCCACACAGCGTTATCGGAATTTTCCTTAGTTTTTGAGGCAGTTTTTCAATTCTAACATCTTTCGGCTTGCAAACACATTTACTATTAACCAAATAAAAAAAAATGTTCGCAATTTTTTTCTCTTTTATCTAAGCTGACATTTAGCCGCACATTCACACCACTGAAAGCCTTTTCTGATCTCAATTAAACAACAAACTGTTTTTTAATTTCATTTGGCAACGGGTTGCCTTTATAGAAATGTATGATCCCCAGAGCGATAAGAGTATAAACTGAATTTTCTAGCAAATTTCTAACAATCCTAAAAACGCCGGAATCAGCTGTCATTGTAAAACATTCATACAGGCTCCTCAAATTCGGAAGACAATTTACGCAAACAAAAAGCTGGAGAAATGTTTTGTGCCATTACATTCTATAAAATTTTTTGTATACATTTTCAATCGTGATTTGGTCATTTATAACTTTATTTCATTAAAAGTTAGATTATGTACCCATTTTTATTGCGTATTATGATTCATAGCTACATAAATATACATATACGTTTTCCCCCTTTTCCGCCAAGTAAAACCAAAAAAAGCAATCATTTTTTGATGCATTTTTTTTTTGTAGTTTCATGATGCACCGCCAACTCATAGTGATATATTGACCTACATGAATCTGGTATTCACATTATTCTTCTTTTTGGAGACCATATTCAAAGTTATAGCCTTTGGATGTACGGTAGGTATACAATTTTATAGAACTAAGTTAAAAAAAAACCAAGTGTCGATTTGGTGGAAGAAAAAAGTGTTATAAAAAAATAAAAAATAAAAGACTTCAGCAGTAACTGCATTGTAAATTTCAGCCGCTATTAAAGAACTAAATATATATATATTGAGGTGTATCCGATATGCGATTTTTTTTTTCTACTAAAACTGTTTCTTAATCTTTCTCGCTCTTATAGAATTTCTTCAAGGATCCATGGAACATTTTCGATCTCATTACTGTTGTGGGCAGTATCGTAGATGCGCTATGGATGGAATTCGGGGTAATTATTGCACATTTATTAACATGAAAAACAATTGCTTAGCACCGTTGTTCTTTTAACTTGGTTTACTAAGAGCTGTTGCTCAGCCAAATGCCACAAAAAAAAAAAACAGAAAAAAACGGCTATAAAAAATTGTTTTACTCTTTGCGAAGCGGAGCAATGTTAGCTTTGAATATTGTCTTTAAGCAAGTTATG